TCGCCAACGCCTCCGCCAGGTGAGCGGGGAGGCTGGGCCGGAGAGTGTGGTCGGGAAGGGCCTTAAACTGAGCCCCAGATGTGGAGCCGGAGCCGCTGGGTAAGAGGGGAGGAAAGGGCGTTCCCAGCTGAGGGAGCAGGGATCCCAGGTTCAGATGAGTGCACTGGCGGCGGTGAGGTTGGAGTGGACTTAATTAAAAAAAAAGAAAAACCCAGACCCAGTTCCCCTGGCTGGACCTTGTCTCCTATTCTTTCTTCTCCCTTTAACAAGTGTCTTCTATATTTTCTTTTACTTTTTAAAAAAATTTTAAAATATCTATATTTTTATTGAATTCAGAGAGGAAGAGAGAGGGAGAGAGAGATAGAAACATCAATGGTGAGAGAGAATCATTGGTCGGCTGCCCCTACTGGGGATCGAGCCCACAACCTGGGCATGTGCCCTCCTGCACACCTCCTACTGGGAATGTGCCGGCAACCACAGGCTGATGCTCTAGCCACTGAGCCAAACCAGCTAGGGCTTTGGTGGTCTGATTTTTTTTTATTGTGACATAATTTACAGACCATAAAATTAGTAATTTACGCGCAGCCGGCATGGCTCAGTGGTTGAGAGTCAACCTATGAGCCAACCAGGAGGTCACAGTTGGATTCTTGGATCCTCAGTCAGGGCACATGCCCAGGCTGTGGGCTCAATCCCCAGTAGGAAGCCAATCGATGATTCTCTCTCATCGATGTTTCTCTCTCTCTCTCCCCCTTCCTCTCTGAAATCAATAAAAATATATGTTTTAAAAATTAGTCATTTAAAAGTGGGTTTTAGTATATTTGCATGATTATACAACCACCTCCACTAACTAACAAGAAAATTTTCACCATTTCAAAAAGAAGCTGTGTGCCAATTAGCAGTCACTTCCTATTCCCCAGCCCCTGGCAACCACTAAGCACTTTCTGTTACTATGTATTTGCCTGTTCTGGACATCTATACTAATAAAAGGGTAATATGCTAATTAGGCCGGGAGACCTTCCAGGAGACCTTCCGGATGTCCTTCCGGACAAAGCCATGGTGGTGGGGCTGAGGCAGAGGCAGTTAGGGACGATTAGGCCGGCAGGGGTACTAGTTGGGAGTGAATAGGTCAGCAGGGGGGGGCAGTTGGAGGTGAGCAGGCCAGCAGTGGGGGCAGGTGGGGGCGAGCAGGCTGGTGGGGGGAGGAGTTAGGGGGGATCAGGA